GATATAATGCACGATAAAGACCCGAGGTTAGAAAAACATTTGTGTATATCTTTACCGTTTAGGGAGGGCGCAAGTGCGAAGACACAACGGTGATTATTAAACGCAATGGATGAGACGTTCTGTGCATCAAAGCTTAGTGCATTATTCACGTCTAGGTCATTTGTAGTTTTGTGATAGAAGGTTAAATGTCCCGAATATTCAATCTTATTCTGTGTATTCACACTTACTTGTCTTATAGAACAAAAAGCGCAGGCCCCATGGTCGTGAAAGTTTTAAGATGGAATCGTGAATACCACTTACGGGGCTGAATTCCAAAACAATCGAGTCTACAACGAGTGTCTTGGTTTCACACACATACGAATTGACTCAGGATGCATACAATCCGTGGCTGATTTTCAAGGTAAAGTCGCTGTCGGTAATAGCCGAAGTGTTGTGAATTTATTTCAACAGGCTCCTCTGTGCTAGAAAATAATTGGTACAGACGCGTATGCTTAGCAAGCACAGAGCCATACGCAAACTAGATCGCGAATGATCTCAATGAATAAACGAGTGATCGGAATAGTATCATCAATGAAAATCTGATTTACGGTCTCAGAATAAACTCCACTCTGGTGCTCTGTGATGTGATTTCGACTATTTGTTTAATCTTTTTTCATTTCATTTTCATTTTTATATAGCATAGTATATTGTGGTATATTGGAATGTATACGAATCAAAAAACACCAGGTTTCTCGCCACCTCTTATTTTGCTTGACCTGTTTTTCATGTATCACAGTTTACTCTAAGGAATAATTAATGCAACTCCTGCTTTCTCTACTCTGATTCATGAGTTGTCCACTGTGCGTTCAAAAATCATTCCTGTATAGGATTCATTTTCACCTTTCCGTGTATACGTCAAAATCAAATGATAACACCTATTTGTTTCTGTGCATACTACGGGCCTATGATATATCATAAGATTGTTGTCAGACAATGATAAAATCAAATATACAATCAAGTATACAATCCCCTATCCAACTCTCTCTATATTGAACGAGGTTCATCGATCTTTACGTGATCCGTTTTATTTTTCATTGTTCCGTTTTATTCATAGATGTGCGAACAGAGATAAAGATTGTGTCTTTCCTAATTATGTTCTGAAAAAATGCAAGTTAGATTAACACAGACCTGCAAAATACTTGGAGTTGGGCAAGTTCTCTGTTTTATACTGACCAATCCTTTATTTGGATTTAACAAAATAGACCTGACAAACTGAGAAATCCAAAGATGCATTGCCCAAACATTTTTCACGAATCTCACAATGTTAAACGACAGTATGGAATGTGACAAATATCTATTCTCATGCAAGTCTCATCTTCATACAGATTGAACTGACAGTGGAATCTAAGGATGCAAAAAGGGGTCACACAGTTACAGCTAAAAATTACGGAACACAGCTTTTGGTATACTGGTATATTATATTGAACATAATTCATCATACGCATAAAGGTTCAAATCTCCTATTGGGACGTTCATCATAGACTACAGTACTGGCCGATTGTGATGCACTAAAAAATTTTCTTTATAATCAAATGGAGTATCATCATATTTATCACCTGTATATGATGTTTTAGGCATGGACATTAAATTTTATCTTGTCTATTTCGATCTATGTAGTTTCTTGTCTGCATAAGTGCCAGTTAAACTTGCCTGAGTGTGCCTTAAGTGTCAAGATTGATTGATGTCAACATGAAAACCCCAACCTTTATCAAGTAGGACAACGCAATATGTTTTAACAGGAATGACTCAAAAATTATCCTTAATTATTTCCATAGACCATTCAGTATCTCGCTTTTTCGTTATGGGGCATTATGTTATCTAACAAATAACCCATTATAGTAACTCTATTGTATTACCAAATGAAATTCTTTCACAACCCAGAGAAATTGCAATAAATAGGGTTTCATAATAATAATCTATGTTTGATATCTAACTCACTGAATTCGAGAAATACCACTTCAATCAAAGTCAATCTTCAAATCAAGGTAATGCTTGTGCACAGCTTGCATGTTCGTATTGTCACCATAGTGAAGCGAGCAGCGCTCAAAACCAAACGTTCCCGTTATTTCAGTGAAGAGGACAGAAACAGAAATACACGAGCATACTAGCTGGGATTTTCGATATCAAATCTTGCCCAATGCCTTCACGTTAACTGAAGCACGATTTACTGGTTAATTCAAGTGAAAACAACAACCAGAAGAGCGGGTGGGGGCCGCAAACCGAGTAAATCCCAACAGGAAGACGACCTGATTTGTATTACTCTGAAAAGTGCGATATGTAATAGAGCACAGAATAGAAACGATTTCACAACAAAATTGGTTGATTCGATGCCGAAGAGACTCGAAAAAGTCATAAACAACAAAGGCACCAATCGACTATTAGTGTAAACAAACCTTACATCTTGCTGAATATCAATGCTAATTTGGTGTTATTAAAACTGTTTTATTCTCTTTAGTTGTTTCTTCACTCGCCATGGTCTAGGTCAACCACTTCTGATATTCCACATGATAATACAATACATTACATTCTACATTCTTTACTTACTTCTCTGTTACTCTTCTACTGATTATGAACAAGTCACATAAGTCACGTTTATAAAGGCTCACCAAGGCTTGTTTATTATTATTTAGAAAAAAATATTTACTTCAGTGTAAATGTTGTTGCCTATCTTAACCGGCAAGTGTTTCACAAGGACCCGTAACTTCAGTTTCCATTTGACGTGTACATTTTGAATATTACTTGATCTAATCGTCAAAGTTTCGGGCGCGTTCAATGAAAGTATACACAGTTGAACCTTATGCAGATGTGGATGCTCTGATATTCATTTTCTAGAAAAGGTGGTGCGGCTGAATTTTTTAATTGCGATACAACTGGGACTGATGTCTCTTTAAGATTCTAACTAACTCTCAAATGAAGTTTGTTGCACCCCAACCTTTTCTGTGACGAATAGTGCAGTAAAAGAAACAACAAATGCACAGAGAAGAGAAGCGATGTACATAAATCAATTAGTGCATTGTTCACTTTGGTTTCGCTCCCACAATTTAAAAATAATGCATGGGCATTATGGTCCAAATGCCTCCAACCGTCTGCAGGTGAAAGCTTGAAATTGATCTTTCTTTCCGCCGAACGGAAACCCTGGGTGAGTTTCATGATGCTCTTTGGTTCAATCGTGGGCGTGGTTGGTGTACATTGGATGGGGTTCTGCACGCCAATCATTCTGTTTTACCCTCTGTGTTTTGCCAAAGATGCAAGAGGTAATCGTTAAGTGTTGCCATTATCGAAACAATTTTGTTTTCTTCAGCTTTAGTTATGTCTGATTCGAAGTCCAATTTTTCTAATATAGTTCTAGCAAACCTTAACATAATTCAGACTTTCATTTTGGTGTTATAATGTTATTCTCGTGTCCCCAAAAGTTTTCATCAACAGAATCTTCCCATTCTCACACAGCCACCTAATTATGTATAAGCCCTAGTCCAGACAACGTATATAAATTGAAAATATCTCAAAAACTTTTTCATAGATCTTTTCGATACCCATTACTCGAAAATGCATTTTTGGCCTACTCAATCCTGGAACTGGCTTGTCTAATTCTCTAAATTCGCAATCCCTTTTAGTTTTAGTCATCATATTCTCAAATCCGAAACTGTTGAATATGGTTGTTTCAATATGAGCCGTTTTGTTTTGTTTATTTGTTTACTTTTTCAAAGGAGCGGATGTAAAATGAAATGTTATTTTCCCTAAAATGAATCTAGGTGCGTTATTTCATTTAATTATTGTCACTCATTTTTTAAAACATGGTATGCGAAGCCCCGCGCAAAAATCAATGTCACTAGGTTTCTTTAGATGACTTGAACTTGCTTCTCGAAATATTGTCATTTGTGGGAAGCTTTTGGTATATATTTATGCTTCAAGGAACTTGGATAAACATGAACAACCCTGGTTGTGTCCTAAATTCATTAGAAGCACCTTCCGATCCCAAAACACAACAGTAATTTAACTTTGTTGTGCAAAATGATTTAAACCGGGAAAAAGTACTAGGTTTTCCTATATCCTTTATCAGATGTTACCCGCGTTTTAGCTTCATATTCATTACTTTATCAAAATTGATTCATTTCTGTTTATCCTAACATTTGTTCAATTTTATAAATTCCCGAACTGCCTGAAAATCACTCGTCAAACGAATCGTGTGGTGATTTGATCAGTGCTGACTACCTGATCAATTGTTCGGTTGATTTTATGAGCGACCTTAAGTACATTACCAGGGGAATTGCGCGTGTTTAGCAAATGGGGTATCTGATATTGTCCCGGCTTGGGTGTCTGTATCTTTACCTCTTGGGGCACGCCCCAATGTAAGTGCAGACATACATACTGAATGACTCAGAATCGGAACAGCTGGTTCGTTTTGCCTCAACCACCGGTCAACCCAACAAGAATGTGTTGTCACGGTAACTAATGCAAACCGAAACTGACAGTGCGTGCGTGTGTATGAATTAACGAGCAAAGCTGGGATCAATAAGCATGTTTTCGTTCGTGAACAAGATAGTTGTTGTTCGCATCGTCGGGAATACCGTGAATAAATTAGTTTTCGATAGTGGCCATAAACTCGAAGTTTAATCGATGTGGATGGTGACACGAGGATGTTGTTTTCTTCGGAATGACGATTTGGATATTCTGAATGCGTTCGTGTGTTGTTTTTCATTTTTCCTGTTCTGTACTGCACGAGATTGTTGTGCTCATTGCAAGCATTAGCAATGATCGCCTCATGCTAACGCATTTTCCGGAAAAGAAAAGAAGAGCAATGTTGAATAATATAATAAAATAGCCAAAAGATATTCTAGTATAAAGTTGCACGGACACAATCATACATCCATACAGGCAAATAGGCTTTTGGAGAGACCGAGGAACACAAATCTGCAAGAACGTTTTTAAAGTTATTGCACAAATATGCAATCTATTGCCAGTCATTTTTCTATAGATGGTGCACTCTTTGAGACCAGTGAAGACCTGCGTGTTGTACTTTTGGCTTTTGCATTGGAATACTTCATAGGTGGAAATGAGTGGGTACAGGCATCCAGCTCGTTCATGCCACTCTCGTCTAAACAACTGTCTAGCGAAGATTTGGCACTCTCTTCATCAGATCGAATATGCTCATTAAACTGATCATCGACTTGGGAACAGTGTGAAATCATTTGACCGGATTCTATAGGTGCAGTTTCACTTGTGATTAGAGTCACCACCAATTCCGGTTTCTTGTGCCCCACGGATACTCGAACCGGTTGAGCATCCCCTCGCTGTAGTACATCAACCAGCTCCGTATCTGGTAATCTATCAGGGCTTGCACTGTAACTGTTGCCAAGACCAGTGCTTGTTACGTCAAAATGCTGTTTCAGGCGTTCTGAAACCGATAAAGATGGTGCTAATGAGGGAATTTTCGTGCGGACCGGACGTCTCCGATTCGTTTGCATGGCGAGGGAATATACTTCTTTTCGGTACATGGAATGCCGTGTTTTATACAGACCCACATCAATATAATTGAAAGATTGATCGGGATTTTGCCGAGTAATCCATCGAATCACTGTGTCCTGTGCGGATTTAGGCAAACACAGAAGGATCAGCATGAATAGTAGTATCAGCGCCAGAAATATCATCATGGCCACGAGACTGGATCGATAGTCTGTGTTGATTTCCACGGAAGGAAACCAGCTTGGTGTTTCAGTCCAATTTGTTGAATATGTGCTAATCATGTTTGGGCTTGGCCATCTGAAAAGAGAGTTGCAGTTATTCATTAGCCGCAAAACCAGTGTTTCGCGAATATGCAGCGGAGAATAAATGGTAACTACAAGAAAGCATTCCTTCGATTACGAGGAAAACTCAGATACAACTAAACAAGCCAACGTGTGAACTGCATATAAAGCAGTCTAACGTAATCCGGTTTTTCAACAACGTGGTACATTTGTTTAAAATTTATAAATGATTTATCAACCAATTTTGTGTATTGGCCGTTACCGTCCATGGGACATCCATTATTGCTGGGGTTACTATTTCTGCCATGCCTGAATTCTGACAGGTTGCAAACCGTAATGGTGCAGTAATCAGCGCGGTCGAATATGAATGTACATTCTCGTGGCCTACTCCTATTTCCGCGGGTATTCTCGGTTCTGAGGTTACGCTCCAGTTACAGTGTTTCTGCTTCTCTAAATCTTCACCCGTGTGACCGTTGAGTGTTTGTTGAATCTTACATTGGACTGACTGGCTTGACATATCCTCCTTTGACCTGATTGATTGGCCGACATTTTCTGTTATCACGCAAGCACACGCGGCATATTGATCCGCTCGGTTGTTAAAATTGAACTGTTTTACTGGTTGATGCTCCTGCTTCTCCATCGGCCTTTGGTTAGGCTACGCACGTGTTACGAATCAACAAGGTTAGTAACCTAATTAGACCCAAAACGACAATAGTTACGTTCAGTAACCCCATCGACAGATACAACTTTCAATCGATGAGGAGCATCTTGATTGTGTTCTCGTTATTCCAAACCCGCCCTCGTTCGACAAAATGTCTCTCACTAAGAGATGACTAGGTCATCGTTTAACATAATTTTACCCTTACTTCTTATTGCAACATAAATATGGATAAACCGATTCATACAGCATGGTAAATCGATGTTTGAGTTCACTATGTAAAGAAAATTACCTCTTGGTATCTCAAATCCATAAGATGGTTGACACAAGCAAATTGTTTTAGGCATTGTTCAAATGTAATCAACGTTTCCCTTTCAAATAAGGTTCCTGGTGAAAATAAGAAAATAACTGAAGAACAAATCATGAACGGCATGACAAGTGAAGTGAATTTAGTTTTGAGGTAATGCCTATGAGATTTCTTTCGTACGCAGCCTCAAAAGGTAACTTGATCCCGCAGACCTGATTCCATCAACAAAGAATGTTGACTTCAGCAGACATAACCTGGAACGCATTTTTAAGTTTTTCAGCTAGTGCTAGACACAAACATTGTGCACTACTTCGACCTTATATAACATACTTTTCTATAAAAAATGGCTTGGGGAATGTCTCTTTTGGGTACAATGCGAGGCCAATATTTCCCCCACCCCATTCATTATCATAGGCTTCCTTCGTCCTAAGCGTCGCATCCACTTTCGCTCTTCCGGTTTATTGAATCGTATTCACATGTATTTTTCCGACGCTACGTGCACACGTTTCTTTTCCGTTTTCCTACTTTGATTTCCATCATCGCGTGATTCCTTGTGTTATTCATAGCCTATGCTTGTCTAATGATTGTTGTCCATAGCCATTGACCGTGTGCGTGTATCTATCGGTTGCATCAGTATCATCCAATGATAATATTTGACCAATGTATGACCCCCGCATTGTTGTGTCACTGCCTCAGCCCATGTTTGTTCCCTTCCCTGGCATTTTGGGTATAATCGTTGGCTCTCACTTTGCGAGATGAACAGCGTTAGATATTTAGTGTTGTGAAAAAGTTCAACGATTTACTCAGGAGAACTAGCAAGCCAGCTCATCAAATCGGAGTCGTTTAAACATTGCATGAAATTGGGCTGAACGTAACGGTTAGGCAAGTGACCTAGAGGCCAACATTTATTCCTTATTCCCTCGTGGCTTATCCTCAATGGCTTGCAGTGCTAGTGATATAATATTTGGTAAATTATCGGCAGGTTTGACCGTAATCAAGCAAAATAATTATTCCTTTTATTACGCATTCGATAGTATGTACTCAATATACATACATTTTGGAATACTTTCATAAGGAAAAATTGATTCTGTCTCTCTTTCTCCGCTTGTGTGATCAATAAAATTTCCTAAATAATTTATTCAACTACGAAGGTTTTTCCATCACTGGATAGATAATATTTATTCGGTAGCAATAAACCCTGCATCCAAATGTGATGTCTAGTTACAAACAATCGTAAAAACACCACCGGGAGAGGAAAGCTACAATACAACGTAAGCATATATATATAACTCTGAGCTCTGAGCTTAACCACCCGAAGCACTCGACAAACACTGAACCTCGACCACGGAGTCCATCCAAATCCCAATAAAACATGGCGGATTCTGGCATACCATAAAAGCACAAACGAAGGATATATCCGAACTTGATCGCTTTGCTGGACGCCTAAGGAACCATTATTCCGGATGCCAAATATGACAGTGAAATCCAATAAACTTCAGCTGATAACGAGTCTGAGGAATGTCCGCGACAATTGATTGGCGGGACAGTGTAAAGAGATGTAAAAGTATGCGGTCTTTAGTAACAGATTCACTCTTTGCAGTCTAATAAGGAATATGGGTCGAAGATAATGGTGTCTCAATGAGGTAAGTAAAGGGTGCGACAGATATAATTTTAGTATCTACATAATAAGTGTTGAGTATTTTATAAACCTCCAGAGGCCACAAACTCTAAACGAACTTACCGGGTTCGCTTTGGAACTATTCCAGTTGGTTTATATGGAGACATATCATTCAACTATTTAAGTCATCTTTATATGTGATATACCAACATCTGCTCGTCAAGTGGATGTGAGCTGGGAGTTCCAAACCGTTATTCGTATTGAAGTATTATCAGCTAACAAAGTACGCTCTATCCTACTGTGCACGTCATAACCAGGTGTAGGCTGAATCAAAATTGTGTCGCACGTTGGCCCACTTTGTGGAACAGGTTCCACCTGTTACTGGATCAAAAAATATTAAGTGCTCTGCCTTTATAACTATAAGTACTCGCTTGACGCATTACTGAAAAAACATCTTGTACGTTTATCCGATTCTAGTTGCGGATCATCAAATATTCTAGAGGTGGACTTGCCAAATACATTACCGAGTGAAAAGAGTTCTGGAAACTACTTTTTTCTAATATCTACGGGATGTCCTCTTTCTTTTCATTTATATAGGTATAATGTGTCATTGATCTAATCAACACAAATAATTAATTCAATGTATCCCATAATTGCTGCATTCAATAAATATCTTTGATTAGTACTGGTTGCCTTTTTCATCGCACATGAACGTCCTTCCATCTCCATTCACTTGTAGCTGCAGAATTGCTTAAACCTTTTGAACAAGGATTTTAATTTAACCAACACGGAGTTAAGCAGCCGCTGGATCTAAGAGGCTGTGCCCAAACAAATGGGATGCAGCTGTAGTCACTCCAGAACGCATTCCATCTTTTAAATTTTATAGTCTGTGATTTTGTTCCGTATAAGTTATTCAAATTATTCGGTGGAATAGTGATTAGGCATGAGAAATAGTAAAATGGTAATAAAGAAATAGGTACATGCAAAGTTGTTCTCCCTTTATCATTCACAGTGAAAGTTAGTGGGAATTTTCGTTTAAGCCTGAAGCAAACCATTAATGTGAGTCGAGTTCTAAATAATTCGGATAATCACATGAACTATATTTGTGGAATACTTGGAATCCGTGTGATTTGCATCCTATTTCGCTCATTGAAATCTAAAATGGGCTTGAAATACTTTAGACCCTTCATCAAAAGTAAATTCACTCGGCAGATGTCGTTTCCTCTCTTTTGGAGATTAAATTGTATCTGGACCATGCAGCATAAAACAACTCTTATTCGTTCCTAACTCGCTTCGAACTGAGCGGAATTTTGCTTTTCTTGTCCGCAGTCTTTTGACACGAATTGTATTAGATTCCCTGAAAGTGACCTCGACATTGAACGCTTGTATCGTTCTCCCCATTTGTATAGTGTTGGACTAGTATGTTTGTAGACTGATCACATCTTTGGTAGTGAAAGTATTAGTTTTCCTTTAGTTTTTACCACCCTGCAAATCTGTTCTTCACCCGTCTATCATAATTCACTATTAGTCGATCACATAATCCCATGAGAGTTGTATTGGTGACCGTGATTTGTAGTTACCATCGGTCAAACTGTCGGGCTAACCTATTCCATTTTATTGGCTACACAAATGACCGTGTATGGCCATGGAAAAAATAGTTCGTAATCGTGTAAATTGTTGAGTAAGAATGTACAGATGAAAGAAATCTGTTGTGAAGTTAGGGGATTCTATTTAAAAGCTGGTCCAAATGATGATTTTTTTGTTCTTGACCTCACACCGTTCATTCGTTTCACATTGATTACTCTCCTCTTTGTTCTTTCGAGAAGCACCAAAGGGTTTCACAGCAGTGAAATAGTTAGACAACTGTTTTTTAAATTTGTATCGTATTTTTATTTGTATAAATTTTGCAAACTGGGATATGCTTACATTTCAGTGAAAAATTGTACACCGTTCGCCACAATGGAGAAAATATAGAAGTATAGACAGATGCAATAGAACGCTGTATAAAAAAAATGTCTCCAAAATTCTATTCCGTCAGTCAAAGATTGACGAAATTCATTTATAACTCGTTCCTTGTTAGTCAACATGTAAGCCAGATACGGTACAGCGCATTTTAGAAAAAATATTTATTCGGGAGGGTAGGTACCGATAAGAGGAACGAGTGATTGAGTGGGGGTGACGAAAAGATAAGTCAAAATGCAAAGGATGGGAAAGGGCGTTCAGAATCTTACTGGCAAAAGCCATGCAAAACTTCATATGAGGATTATTAAGTTATGTGAATAATGAGTCAGCAGAAATTAAAGATGCACGGCTTAGTATAAATAATCCTTGATTGATAGTTTTAAAGTAATCTTTCAATAGCTCGGGAAACACTACATAGGATCAGAAAAGTAAAAGAGAACAAAACGTGTTGGGGA